GAGCTCACCATAGACCTGAAGACATGCAACAGTAATATTTCCCTTTGCTTGAAGTCAACCCACTTTTTATTTATTGCTTGCTTTTAGTTTAAATATCTTTCTTCTTGAGTCAAGTAAATCCTTATAGTTCCTACAGGTATTTTAATTCTGCTCTAAACAGAAGTATTTTTAAAATGTCACAATGTCACAAGATTAGGGTCATTGTTTGGAGGCCTTGTTCAGTGTGAGCACACTATTATAAACCTCACATTAGCACACTCATGCATATACACCGCAAACATTTGGATGCAGGTATTCACTGATACACAACTATGCCTAATAATAGGCTGCAGGTCCAACCATATAGCTTCTTTGCCACTGAAAACCCATGGTTTTCAAAATCGAGTTGACACACTTTACAAACAGCTTTGGCTCTTTCCTATTTGACCGTAAAGCCGAGTCTGACCCCCTGCTAGAAAGCTGATGTGTTTGCACATGCGCAATGTGTGAGGTTCGTGTAAATTGGCTCGTAACTCTCCTTCAGCAGTAGGATTTGCTCACAAACACCTTAAGAGGGCCAACTGGATTTCAAACATGTTTGATTTTTTTCATGACCTTACGATTCCTGATCGGGAGGTGGCTGTGAGAGGCTGATCTCCCCTCGTTACCCTTTGTATACTTAACGATGCAGGCTGCACAATAAAGCTGAAACTGTTTCGAGACCAAAATAATTCTCGCACGACTGGAGAATTGGCCCGAAAACTCTTCTGTCAGATGAGCATAACCCGCCAGACCAGCATAACTATAGTCAATACGCATACACAATACATCAGATGCGCGGTTATCCCTTTAGTTTTGTACAAAAAATAGACTTTAAACTACCTCACTGGGCATGTATCCCTTTAGTCATGTACAAAAAAAAAACAATTTAAGGTTAGAACGCTATTTGCTTCAAAAAACACCAAAAAGTAAGTATTTCAATTGTTTTTTTTTTTTGTACATGACTAAAGGGATACACGCCCATTGAGGTAGTTTAAAGTTTATTTTCATACAAAACTAAAGGGATAAACTAAAGTTATAAACGGGTATTGACTGATGCTGTTCTGACCGCGTATGCTCATCTGACAGAACGGCGGCTTCAGTGCCCCATATGAGCAGCAGGTGATCAAAGCAAAAGTTAGCCAAATCGATATAGAGTTGGTGGACATGCCCCGCTCTGGATCAAAAAAAGCTAACAGCAGGATATTGGAGTACTTATTAATTTTCTCCCTCACTGCCATGTTGTTCAACAGTTCATCTTTATTAATTGTCCTGCATTTTGGACCTAATTTAACTGGATCTTGTGCAGACATCACATATACCCAGATGTCAACATAAACACAATGAAAGATACAGAACATTCATTTTAGATTATGTAATCTTAAGGTTTTGTTTTAAGTAGCAAGTCTTGTCAAGTCAAAAGGCTCAAGTCCAAGTGGAGTTGCAAGTCTTTATACATTTAGTCAAGTCGAGTCTAAAGTAATCAAATTCACGACTCGAGTCTGTCTCAAGTCCAAGTCCTATTAATAAGTCCTTGTACATTGTCTACATGGACTATGTGTATTTACTGTGTGTAATTGGGATACTCCTTTAGTTGTTATGATTGTGTTTCTTTTCCTTTCCTCTCATTTCTTGGAGGTGTTGAAGCAGACTTCTTGGAGTTATGGACTTTCTGTTCTTTCTTCTCTCTCTTTCCCTCTCTTCCTGCCTTTCTCTCACTCTCTTGTTCTTTTTCCCCTTAAGTCTTATCCCCTCTCCCTTTCTCACCTTCCTTTCTGTCTCCATTTCTATGCATATACTTTCTGAAAGGTTTATGGTTACATTTGGACAACGGTTTGATGATGCACAATACTTTTTGAAAAGACTATAGTGCAATGTAGATCTACTGTTTTCATCTTTTAGACCATGTACACAAAATATAGTATAACATTTTGAATATAATTATAACATATTTTTTAACAATTGATAAAATAAGTCATTCTAAATGTTCTATCAAATATTATAGCATTTGTCTAATATGACGCCAGCATAGCACATTGATTACAATCAATAATGATCTGAATGAAAGCCAGACAATACATCATAGTAACGGGGTCATTCTGAATGGTTACCGCAGGAAAATGTCTTGCAAATGTTCAGTCTTTGTGGACCGGTGACTGAAATGACAGCCAGCAGCCGTTCAAATACTGATGCCTTGTCCACACACTACTGGGAACGCTTTGCTTTGCTCTTCTGGTTGATGTTAACACAAAGAAGAGGGGGATTTCCTAAAGGATGTATGTTATTACAATCATCAGAGTGGTGGCGTAAGCATAAACTTTTATCCAGGCTCTCAAGATGTTGCACAACTAAAAGATTTAACCCTTTGGTTCCTTAAGGGGTGACTCAGTCGGACATAATTACATACAGTAAAATATGAGAAAATCTAAGTTGTTATTTCTTTTGCAGCTTTAGCCCTGGTGGTATGGTTAATACATTAATAATGTAGTCTCCCTCCTCAGGAATAGATTACTGTGACCTGGGAATCCACGGCTGTGAGCATAACTGTGTCAGCTTACCAGGCTCCTACATCTGCAGCTGCATGAAAGGCTACGTCCTGAATTCAGATGGCAAGACTTGTAGCCGTAAGAGATTTTTATTATTTTTGCAACAAGGGCAGGAGAACCTAAACAGACTTAAATTGGAAGGCAACCAGATATTGGCTCAGTTTTTGAAGAGCCATATCCGGGAGTATTTGTCAGTTCTGTTCAACCTATTCTCATTATGAGTGCGTATGAAATCGTACAAAAAGTTATGCACCGTAATTTCGTACGTTTTGGACGTTTTTTTCGTCGTATGCGCATCTGACGCATCATTCACGAATATAGAATATAAATTCCAATTAGCCCTAACCCTGACCCTAACCCTAACCCTAAGATATAAAACAGCAAGCAACATAGTTAGATGAATAAGTGATGATTGCACAGTTTTTCCCAGTTTTACGTCTGTCCGTGGATCTGTTTTTTTTTTCTGTCTGCCAGCGCATGCGCACTGATGTGGTTTTTTAAGGAAAAACGTCCAAAAAGTACGACATAGTGTGCATAACTTTTCGTACGATTTCATACGCACTGATAATGAGAATATGTTGTTCTGTTGGCTTACTAAAGATCAATTTCTAGTTGGAGCTCTGATGTACTGAAGCAGCATGGAAGTCCATCCTCATGCACACATTCCAAGTCACATGCAAAAAATAGCCATCTTTAATTGGTCTTTTGAACCATACTGGGAGTGCTTATGCAATTTCTTTGGAGTGAGTTCTATGGATGAATTATAAATGCTTGGAAGCTAAAACTGCAATACTACTGCTGTGTTCAGTAATGGCTTTTTTTCTTTTCATGAAGATGGCTTCCTTCTACCAGCAGACAAAGACAAATGTATGGTGGTACTCAACACAACTGACTACCATGAAAAAACAATGCATTCACTAATGGACAGTAACACCTACAAGGCCTACAAAAAAAATAACAGACTATCTAAAAAAACTGTAAAGAGAAAAAGCCATCAGTCACTCTCTCTACTATAAACCGTACCCAGGGAAGGCCATACCATGCATATATGGTCTTCCAGAAATACACACGGAAGGGGTCCTACTCAGGCCTATTGTCAGCACTATTAACATGGAGACACACAATATTGCAAAACATCTTCAAACAATTTAGCCTCCATTGGTTGGAAGCACTTCACATCAAATATGAAATTCCTCAGACTTTACTTCCAAAGTCCATCATTTGAGAGTTGCTCCATGTGAAACCATTGTTTCTTTCGATGTAACCTCTCTGTCATGTTTGAAGCAAGGCGTTTGACCTACATGCAGAGAACACACAAGAAGAGCTGGATCGTCCTTGCACCGAAGGCAGAGAAGGGGAGAGGTTAGCGGATGGTTTAGACTCAGGCTGGGAACCTAATTCAGACAGGAGCTTTCTGAGTAGGCCGGGTGTTTCCACCACGGAGGACAGGAGTTGGGAGCTGGAGGTTTTCTTGGTGATCGCAGGTGGGTGAATCATCAGAGGGCAGGTAGGTCTTTCCAGATTGTTGGCAGAGAGAGAGAAGCGGTACGTTGCAGGATAGCAAGGTTTTTCCAGGAGTTTCTTGAGTTAAGGTTTTGTTAGGGTTCGGTACAGGAAGTGAGTTCCTCTGAGGAAGCTTTTCTCAAAAGCACAAGAGGTAACCTGTAAAAGACACATAGAGGACCAGGTTTTTTCCAGGTTTATAGAACCGGTGGTGATTAACAGTCAAGCGCTGGAGATCCGGCCGACCGCTCCTCTTATACTGCAGGAGATGATGGTGATTACACGCAGACACTCAGAAACTGCCCTCCAAGCCGACCGCAGCCTAATGGCCCCATCTAGAGCAGGGGTAACAATTAAAAATTAGCACGGTCCGAATAAAGAAAATCATCAAGCAGTAAAGGTCCGGAAACATTTTTAAATATAATCCTTTACTTTAAACTGCATTTAACACTGAAATAAAATTAGCTTTTTATGCATCATTGAATTTTTAAGTAAAAAAAAAGAAAAAAAAATAGATCATTTACTCATTTTAAAATCAAATTTGTTTTTTGAAGCAGTGAACAACAATCATTCAGTTTGGTATATAGACAGTTTCCTGATACACATATTCTATAAAACACCTGAACTGACTGTTGTTTTTTTTCTTTCTGTCTTAATGAGAGCAGTGGGCTTTAGACTGCCCTGGAAGGCTAAAGCACATATCAAGGTGCTCATTTTGAGCCTGGATCCATATTTATTTTTGATTATAGTCATGGTGGGAAATCCAAACTCACATCAGTAGGTTGAGCCAAACATACTCAAAATGTGCAGGGTCATCTTTGAGCGTGAGGGTGATCTTTGAGGCACTAAACACAGTCAGGACACCACCTGAAACACGTGGATGACGCTTGGGTCGAAATCCAAACCAAGGAAGTTGAGTCATTCCCCAATCACACCAACTCAGTGAACAGAAATATAAATTTCACTTAAGAGGATGCCAAGAACAAAATATAACCATTTCTTGACCGTGCTGTGCATGTTAGAGACAATAAAAGTTTTAATGCTGATGTTTACTGGAAACCTACAGATACAGACCAATAGCTTCATTTTGACTCACATCACCCACTGGAATATAATCTTTATGTGATCATAATGAACCAGGCCGGCAATATTCCCTAAATTACAGAGGAGGAGTGACAGAAACAAAAATATGTTAAAAAATCACTTGAAGCATGTCGTTATCCAAACTGGATATTGAATTCGGCCAAAACAATGAGCAGGGAGAACAAAACTGCTTGAAACACAGAGGAGAAAACTGAGAGACACAAAAACATTGTAAGTCCATGTGTGTCAGGAATTACTGAGAAACTTTTCTCCAAACACAGCTAAGGGTGTGCAAAATAATTGTCATGACGATGCATCGCGATTCAAATTTTTGTGATCTACTGCATCGATTCTTGAAGGCAAGAATCGATTATCAAAAAAAAAAAAAGAACAAATAAAATACATTAATGGTTGGCGCACATCAGCTAAACCAAGTGGAATATAACTTCCAGTCCAGCAGATGTCGCTGTGGATGTGTTGACGCCCGCTGCCTTGTGTCATGTGGGATACTGCGACGAGTCATATGAAATAAAACATGGAGGACACTATGAAAATTCCCCCTGCGGCTCCATCACATTGGAGCACAGATGCTTGGATGCATTTTGGCTTTAAAAACAAAGAAGGTAAAAATGAAATGAATATGATGCACGTCATTTGCAAAAGGGGAAATATACATTTGAATGTTTTCGTTTCATTGGTTTAAAGGACCACTGAGGCCATGTAAACGGCACTGATTATCCTTATTTTGTTATTCTAAGTTTGATGAATTCTAAGATCTTTTTGTCAGTGTGTCCACGCCAGTAATAGTAATAGTAATATTTCCCTCATAAGTATCTGTTTTCATGGCAACACCTCCAAAAGTGGTTTCAATAAATACAGCTATGTATGAATTCAGTTGCTTTCAGTTATGTATCAATTGAAGACACTATCCAGATCATACCCAGCCAGTCAGCCACTGGTAATGGCTGTATCTTTTTCTTACAGTGTTCAGTGAAAATATCGCGATGCATCACAATATTTCAAGTATCGTGATGCATCGTGATAGAATCGCATCGTGGCATGTGAATCGTGATTCGAATCGAATCGTGACTTCTTTGCAAAATACCCACCCCTAAACACAGCATACCAGTGAAATTTAAACCTCACATCACACTCTGATAAAAATGTATTCATCCTAAAGACAGATCACCCAAACCTAAGCTGAACAGTGTTGTGTATGTGATCCAGTGCAGTGACGACTGTACAGCCTCCTATATTGGAGAAACCCAACAACAACTTCATAAACCCATGGGACAGCATAAGAGAGCCAGCAGCTCTGGGAAAGATTCAGCTTTGAAGACCAAAGTGTTAAGATTTTGGACAGAGAGGACAGATGGTTTGAAAGAGGGGTCAAGGAAGCCATCTTGATGAAAAGAGAAAAGCCATTACTGAACACAGGGGGAGGATTGAGGTTTCCTAGCATTTCCAATTCAGTCATGGAACTCATTTCAAAGAAATGACATAAGCACTCCCATTATGATCCAAAAGACCAATCACAGACGCCATGCACAACAAAAGGCTCCTCCAATCCAGAAGAACAAAGGGTGGCTTTGAATATGTCTTGGAGTGTGTGCAGGAGGATGGACCTCCATGTTGCTTTAATACATCAGAGCTCAAGTAGAGATTAATCTGGTGTTAATCAACAGAACTAACAAATACTCCTGGATAGGTGTCAAAACGTCATCAAAAAAATGAGCAACAGTCCACATGCCCTCCAATTTGAGCCTGTTTGTGGTTGGCATGGCCCGTATGATTGAGAAATTACACAGGCAAGGGAAGGAGAGTAAATAAAACTAATGGTCTGAAATTATTTGTTGAGTTGCACTCAAACGATTTATAACTTATGAAAAGAGACACAATTCACTGGTCCAAATAAAACATCTACACCCTACTTCTTCTCAGAGAGCGACCACTGTGCTGATGGCAGCCATGGGTGTGAACAGGAGTTTATGAGCACAGCAACTTCCTGTGTGTGTAAATGCAGAGACGGCTACACACTCAGACCAGACGGGAAAACCTGTAAAAGTAAGCTTATTCAGCAAACTGTGATATTTTTAATAGTTTTTAGGTCAAAACTTTTCATTTTTAATGCCTTGGAGTTTGTTAAAATCAAGTGAAGTCATAATATTCCCATGAAATCTATCTATTTTTAAGAGGACATTTAAATATTTTACATTATTGCCTCAGATCAGTTCAGTCCCAGATGAAGTGACTCACTAACCAGCTTCTTTTTCAAAGGTCCAAAGATTGAAGATTTGTTTTGTCTGCATTCAGGAACAGAAAGTTTAGTCTATGTAATGGGTTAGCTTCATCTGGATTCATAGGCAGATATAGCTGAGTATCATCATGCTTTTATTTTTATTCCAATTATTTATCATTTAAGACCAATATGAAGACATTTCTCTCTGTCTTAAAAATCAAAGTCGTTTTTTCTACAGGAATTTCTGTCATAACAATATAAGCTTGTAATGTAATCTGATGCTGACTCTCATTATGTGATTGACCAAGCGAAGTAAAAAAGTTATCAAAAAATTTACATTGGTGTCACGATCTGATCGAATGCTTCAGCATTAAATTGGGAAAATTAATTAATTTGAGATGTCAGTGTTTCATTTCTGTAGTTTTTGTATGTGCACTCTAAGATGAAAATGCTGCCCCAACTTAAATGAATTACTTCACTTGGTAAAAATTAATTCCATTAATTTCAATTGTAGTTGTGTGGTCCTCTGTGTTGTTTTTTGTTTACTTATTGTTGTGTTTTGTTGTTGTTTATTCTTGTTATACAGCACATTGGAAACCTTTTCTGTTGTTAAATGTGCTATATAAATAAAGTGGATTGGATTGATTGGATAACTGAATCAAGTTTATCCAACCTTATTGAAAACTTAAATAAATCAAGTTGGGCAAACTTAATTAAATGACTTGTCACTAACTGAAGCAATTACTTCAAGTTGGAGCTGCATTTGTGGATCTTTCCCATTAACTTGATAAAGCCTTGTGGTCATGTTTCGGATTTCGACCTTCCTCAGTTTTGAACTTGAATGAATGAAAGAAACACTTATCAATATAATCTATATCTTAAACCACTGTTTATTATTTTTGTTTTAGGTAAATCCCCCTATATTTTCCTTCTTTCCCTCATGGGCCTCATACAGTGGCATAGATAAAAGCCCACTGACATTATGAGTGTACAGGACTCAGTGTTTGGTATTAAGGCTCCTGCCTGCAATCCACTGCTCTGTCTCTACCAGAGTCTGGAGCTCTTCTTGATCGTGAGGCAAATTGCTTAACATGGGTCAGAAAGAAAGCTAAGCTTCTGTTTAGAAAATCTCTGATTTAAAGTGTCCCACAGAGTGACGCTGCCACCACCATGTCTTACTGTTGAAATGGTGTGTTCAGGGTTATCTGTAATATTTTTCTGAAACGTAAAACATTTAACAAATATGCCAGAAAGTCCGATCCAGGTTTTAACATGATTATTTTTACTATCATTTTGAAATGCATTCTTATTTGATTTTATTTTTCATTTCACAGTTTATAACAAAAAATGTTGTTGCTTATTATAAGACCCCCTTCATCCACAATGACAAGATGGCAAAATTACAAAAAAAAAGTTTAAAGCAATGAATAAATTGTCATCTCTGTTTATTTAATTGCATAAAGTAATATTTCTGCTTTGATATTCTAATCTTAATGTCATGTTTTTATCAGCTATAGCAGATAAACTTAATTATTAACCGAATGAAAGGTCTGAAAACATCCGCCTGTGTTTAATGAATCCATTTATTTGTTAATCTATTTAAAGCGTTTCTCTCAGTAAACTGAGTTACTGACATACATGAACGTTTCAATGATATCCTGTATTCATCCCACAGAGATTGACCATTGTGCTGATGGGACTCATGGCTGTGAGCAGGAGTTTATAAATACTGAAGATTCATGTGTTTGTAAATGCAGAGAAGGATACACACTGAAGGCTGATGGAAAGACGTGTCAGAGTGAGTGTTAATGGATTCAGTAGAATAGAAATTTCATTAAGTGTGAATGGAAGTATTGCATTTACAACAATGATTAGGCCAAAGAGTTGAGATGAAAATTGTTTAAATATAGAAATATAGATGAAATAATACCTGGAGAGACAGGTGGGACATATTCAGTCATTATTAGCTTGGAAGTTTTCAGATTTTATCTATAATTCATTCCCAGTATTTACATGTTAGATACATATGAAAACATTCTGGATCAGATTTAATGTCAGAATTAATCCCACGTCCAATGGTGACTTAACATACCCCAATGCTGCTTGTGCAGATTTTCAGCTGTTTGCCATTTTGGTTTAATATTTACAGGTAGGTATGCAGATGGAAAATATACATGAAATTCAATCCAGTTTATTTAAATAGCGCTGATTCGCCAAACATAGCAGCTCAAGGCGCTTTACAGAGACATTTCAATCTGAAAAACTCACACGAAGAGAAAAGACAATTAGGAGAAATTTAATGATACAATTACTTTGTCTTTGGCGCTCAGACCTCAGCAGGAAACATCGCGCTTAATTTTGATAGATATGCATGAACAGGAGCAAAGAACAGGGCTGTTTCCCCCCAGGCCTGAAACTGCTGGTGGAGTGGAGATAGATGAATTTGGTCAGTCTGCAGACTGCTGGTTAGTGAGACGGTATGCTGAGCTTTATGGGGAGATCCAGTGGACTGTGTGGGCTGATACTAGAGCTTCAATCAGGAACCTGGAAGATGGAAGTCCAGTTGGATAACACAGGTTGAGAGAACCTGTCAATGATGAGCAAGCATGAAGCGACAGTGGAGAGAAAAAACTCCCCATTGGGAAGAAACCTCTGACAGAACCAGGCTCAACATGGAGGTCTTCTGCCGGACCGGTTGATGAGACAGGGAACGCAGTAAGAGTCCGGGAGGAATGACACTCTGATGAAGCTTTAGCTACGATGGTGGAGGAGAGGCTGGAGGTGGGTTGAAATGGTGTCATCTGAATGAAGTCACACAGCGCATCCACAGCCTGTGCACAGGATCAGATATGTGGATCGGAGGCCTTTTAAAATGAACTTTCGATGCCAATTGGCTTTCATGGAGATGTGATTCAAAGCTGATTGGGTGTGTCGTAGGTGGATGTAGGAGAGCAATCAGTTTCTTCAGAACTTCCGACTAGGCTCCATTTAAAAAATACAGAGACATATATCTATAATGTAGTTTATTTTGGTTGAAGTTTGGATGTAATTCCCCAAACAATGAAACCACAATACTTTACATACAATATCCTCCATAAAACAATGTATGCTTAACTATGTAAACAATGTAAACTAACTAAACTATTGATCTATCAAACTATCAAAAGTAGCCTAGAACATTTGTGTGTTTAAACTACGACCCAAACTGATGATAAAATCAAAACAAAATGTGACTGTGAAATTATTGCAAACTTTATAATTTGTGCCAAACATTTTAGGCATCAATTATTGATGGAGTAATGATTTTAATTTTGCACACGATCAACTCATTACATTAATTGCACATTATCTTTTAAAATAGATATTAGTAATGGGTAATCGAGGCAGAAAATGTCCAGGCAGGGTGACAAAGACCTCTTCATCAAAGTACATAAATCTCTCATTATGTAAATTTAAATCAGCAATCATAGGAAACAAAGATAGCTATTATAGGTACAGGCTAATTGATGAAAAATGATCTAGAAATAAATAGACTATGGTATGGAGGAGCATGGACGCCCCCTCCCTGGGATTCTGGAAAAAAGAAATTGCAAATTCACTCGGACTGGAAAGATTAACATATATCGCCAAGGGTAAACAACAAGACTTTGAGAACCTCTGGGAGCCATATATGAGGATTATAGAGACTGAAGNTTCTGTATCATAATCTAAAGAGTTTTGTATTTTTGAACAAATGCAGGTTTGAATTATGAGTGCGTGAGTGAATGCTAGTATGCAGAGGTTCATGTCTGCAATGTTACGTTTGTTTGTAAGTTTATTGTACATTAAAAGAGAAAAATTCAATAAAATATATTGGAAAAAAAAAAATAGACTATGGTACGGAAGCAGAGAGCTACAGAAGCCGAGAGCGGTCAAACTTGACTTTTTTTTCTCCCTTTGGCTTCTAGAGATAATGACATAACTATCTCATTATCATGGTTTAACCATTAATTGTTTTCTCAAGATAACAAGATAATTATCTCGATGTCATGAGAAAACAGATGTTGATTTCTTGAGATAACAAGATAATTAAACTGTTTGAGTAATAAATGAGGCAGGCCAACAGCCCTGGATTCCCAGTCCATCAATGCCTGTGGGGCCTGTAATTGTGCAGTCACAGTATGGTGTGTGCGCAAATAATCATTTTTTTTTTATTTTCCTTTTTCTTTTTACTTATTGTCAGGTCTTGGTGGATGGTTGGATTGCATGGAATACATTAGAAACAATTCTGACTGTTTTTAAATGAAAATCTTTAATGTGGCATCTTACAGCTGTTACAGGCGTAACACCGGGGCTGTTCAGAAAACTCAGGTGCTAAGCCAGCGGAGAAATAGGTGCAATTGCTTATGAATCTGAAGAGGAAACAAATCATCCGACAACAACGTCGTCTTGTTACCTAAAAGTTAAATAGAGGATTATTTCCAGAATTACACATGGGCTGCCGTGACTTATAAATCCTCTCCGCTATTGTGGTATTGAAGGATGTAATCAGTTTTAACGCACACCGATCATCTCGTTATGATGAGAAAATGGCTTTCGTTATCTTTAGATAATGGGAAAATTAACATGTTTTCTCAAGAAAACCACTGTGAAAAAGTATCTGAGGAACACAACCGCTCTCTGCTTCCCTAACAGACAGATTAACCTCCTTTACTGATTATTTTGCAGGACTAATAAGGCAGTATCAAAGCTGTGTTAGAACAAGTCAATATTCAATGCTAAATAATAGCCTTAATAGCTAAACTATCACTCTGCCGTTTGTTTTCTTTACTTTAATGTCTTCAGTTTTACATTCCAAAAGGAAAATTTAAAATGAAATAAAGCTTAAAGAGACACGTTAATTGTGCTGCAGGAGCCTTTGTAACTTGTGTTAAACCTGCAGGTGTGGATCTGTGTCAGACTCTGGACCACGGCTGTGAACATCTGTGTGTCAGCACCACTGCCTCTTATATCTGCAAATGTTATGAGGGATTCCTGCTGGCTGGAGATGGAAAGAGCTGTGAAAGTAGGATCACAGCTATATTTACCCTCGATTCTTTGAGAACTGGAGCGAAATGAACCCACATCATCATGCATTTTTCATGTCTTTGCTTCTGACAGAACCAGGGTGTCTCGATGGAGTCATGGATTTAGTGTTTGTGATCGACGGCTCCAAGAGCCTGGGCCCGGCTAACTTTGAGCTGGTTAAACAGTTCGTAAACAGCATCGTGGACTCCCTGAACATCTCCAGGACGGGCACTCACGTAGGACTTATTCAGTTCTCCACTAAGGTGCGCACAGAGTTCACTTTGAGTCGGCACACCACGGGGCAGGACATCAAGCGGGCCGTGAACCAGATGCAGTACATGGGGAGGGGCTCCATGACCGGCTCAGCTCTGCGTCACATGTTTCAGTTCAGCTTTTCAGAGAAAGAAGGCGGCAGGTCCAACATCCCACGAGTGTGTGTGGTGTTCACCGATGGGAGGTCACAGGATGATGTTTCTGAGTGGGCCAGCAAAGCAAAGAACTCTGGTAATGTGTCCTACTTTCTCTCTATCACAGGTCATTCTCATTTTAACAAAGGTATGCTTCTTATGGAGTGAATTTTGTCCCATTATTGATGCAAGAAAAGAAAATGTTTTGGAAATGGAAATTTAAAAACAACACAATCCAGAAATGTGTACTTCTAATACTAACTTGGTTGTTTTCTTATATTTTTTTACATTTATTTTTTCTTCTTTTTTTCAAACTTTATATTTCAGTTGTTTTACAGGTTTTTTATTTTTAAATGTTTTTAAATTCCATTTTTTGAGATGGAGTTTTAAAAACAGCATTTTCTTCGTTTCTAGCTCATAAAAAACACTCACTCTTGACTAATGAAAATGTTGCTAACGTCCATCCAGACCAATAGAAAAGCATGTTTGCTTCTCACTCCATAGGAAAGCCTTCCTCCAGAAGTAATAAGAAATGTTACCAACCTACCCTTTTTGATGAAGATTTTACTTTTTCAAAGTTTTATCCCTGGATTGCTTTTTTTTTTATTTCCATTAATATGTTCTTTGCAACAATAGTGGAATAAAAGTCACTCCATAGTTTCAAAACATTGCTCTGTTTTCTGCCACTTCTAGGGGTCACAATCTACGCGTTGGGCGTTGGGAAAGCCATTGAACAGGAGCTGAGAGAAATAGCATCAGAACCTTCTGAGATGCACCTGTATTATGCAGAGGATTTTAAGAAAATGGGAGAAATTACACAGAAACTGAAGTCAAGGATATGTAAAGGTACTTTGTTCAACATTTAGTATTCAGTTCTGCAAAAAGTTGAAAAAGAAAAAGATCTCTCCTTCTTTATTAATTCAGGAAAGGTAAAGTTTGCACTTAAGAAGTCAGTTAAAAGGCTCCCTTTATAGGGTTACTGCCACCTGCTGCTGCTGCAGCCGCTGCTCACAAAATCCTGCATGAGAGGAACGTCAATGTGCAGCAGAGAGCCAGGAATGGATACGATGAATGGAAATGAGATGGAAGGAAGAATAATTTAACCTTGTTTATTTTGCTCCAACAGACAGACCAGCAGATGAGAACATGTGTCGATGTGAGAACATAATCCTGTTTCAGAACCAAGTCACAGAGCAGCTGAAGAACCTGGCTCAGAGTAATATCCTTTTATTGCTGGTTGCACCATTTTCTCCTTGATTAGATTAAGTGGATTTAAAGGCAGTAAAACTGATTAGATTGAAAAAAAACAAATCAGTTTGTGGTTTAGAGAGTTACTGAAAATTATTCCTTTAAACTCTGAGGAACAGACATGAAACTGGATTTAAGCAGGAGAATTTAAGCTTTATTTAAACTACATCATTTACATACAGTTAAGTTTTATTTTGTTTTTTGTTCGGTCAACAGTGCATCACACTTTCTCCACATTTTGCTATCCTACAGCCTTACTCCAAATTACACTGAATAACCCATTATGAAGTGTATAACTTTTTTTTAAATTGTTGCTGATTTACTTCAAGTGGAAAGTATTTACAAATAACGCTATGAAGGCAATTTTGTTCCATTATTGTTGCAAGGAAAGAACATGGACATTTTAAAATAAAAATTAGAAGGCAATCCAGAAATCAAAGTTAAAAAACGTTTTAATCAAAAGGTTTGTGAGAAAGTTTTCTGTTTTCTCAGATTTAACTGTTTAATTTCCTTTTTTACAGATTCTATATTTTCAAATTGAATTTTAATAACACTCAATCTGAAAAGGGAAACTAAACACAATCTAATTTGAACATTTTAATTCTCTAAAGAAAATATAAAAATCATAAAATTTGAAAATGAAAACTTGACAATAGTAAAATTTAAAAAATAAATAAATAACTTGCAAAAAAAAATCTAATTTACATAATAACTCTTAAAGCCTTTTTTAATTAAGATTTTTAAATGTGATTTCTGGATAGTATCTTGTTTATTTCCATTTACAAATCATGATCTTTGCTTTCAACAATAATGGAACAAAGTTCATCAGGGACTGCACTGATGAATTACGAAGAAAGTCAGGATTTATTCATCTAAATGAGCTTTAACCTTAGCAGACAAGTGGAAGGAATTTCATTTCAGAATCAAAATCAGAATGACTTCATTCATTCCTTGTGGGAAATTATTTAGAATAGCACTGGGGAGTGGAGGCCTAGTGGTTAGGTTATAGAGCCTGGAATCCTGAGGTTCTGAGTTGGAGCCCCACTCCCACAGACTGCCACTCTGGGTCTCTGAGCAAGACCCTTAACCCCACACTGCTCTCCAGGCGCCGCACAATGGCAGCCCACTGCTCCCCAAGGGGATGGGTTAAATGCAGAGGTAAATTTCTCTAATTTGAGATCAATAAAGTTCTATTATTATTATTATCTATGCTAGTTTTAATGCATGTCTTCATGGTAAACTTTTTCCTCTGGTTTCAACCCTTTACTAACAATTATCCTGGGGATGGTTTATCAAAACAGTTTGAATTTATTCTTCTTTGGAGATTTATAATATTTTGATTCTTTGCTTCATCAATGTTCAATCTATTTCCTATGAATCTCTTTAACATAATTACTTGAAGCATTGTCAAAGAAGCTGGAGACTCTGGAGAATCAAGTTGTGCGTAAATAAAAGGCATTCAGACCTTCAGGATCCCTGTCAGCCTGGACTGTTAATTCTATTTATCATTTAAAGGACAGTTTAAAGCTTCCATTTTATCTATTAAGTGTTTGAAATGTATCCAAGCATGCCTGTAATTTCATCTGTGGGTTGTAATAATAAACAGCTTATCTTCATGGAGCAGGTCTCTTCCAATGTAACGATATATTTGGACAAATATTTTAGATTAAATCACGTTAATTTTGTGCTGCTACTGACCGCCGTTTTATGGCAAGGATTCCAGATGTTTTACCAGATACACAGAAAACTTCATCGTACTTGACAAAGCTCAGACGCAGTGTATAGCATTCCTTGATTTTTATAGAGGAAATCATTATTGTTGCAAACAAAGATTTAGTTTATTCCCCCACATTTTATTTGTTCAGCTTTGAATTATGTTTTCATATATTTGTTTTCAAGTTTATTTTCATATTTTTGTTTTTCAGATGGAGTTTTATGAATTGCTTTTTTTCTAATTGCATTTCACAGATCACATTCTCTTCACTGCAAGCCAAACACAAACATTGTGGTCCCTAACATCCATGCAAATGATTAGAAATGCGTCTTCAATCCTCACCTCAGAAGAAAGCCAGAAGTGAAGGGAACATTAACTATAAAACTCAATATGAAAAGATTACAATTTGTAAACTTCAATCTAAAAAAATCATTTAGATAGATAACAGAAAATATAAAAAAAAATGAAATTCGGATTATATAGAATCTGTTTAAAAACTGAAAAAAAGAAGAAAAATGAAAAAAAACAAAAAAAAAACATGTAAGAAACCAGCAGGCATTCTAAAAACCTTTTTTTTTGTTTCATTTCTGAATTGCAATTTTTTTGAATTCCCATTTACAATCTGTATTCTTTGCTTGAAACAATAAACAGAATTCACTCCACAGTTTCTCTGTCATTTAGGACCACAAAGACCAGTTATAAATGTTTGAATTCCATTTCTGTTTTTTTTTTCATCTGAAATGTTGGTGTCATGGTTGATATTAAACTATTGTTCAAAACTTGTTAAAGAAAAGCAAATATAGTACGAAAAAATACCCTGATTGAAGAAATGACAGTTAAATGACAGATCTTTGACCCGCACTAAAACTGGTCATTACTGAGCTTACTAACATGAGAGGAAGCAAACGGGAGCCCCTCTGTCTGTAACACAACCAACGCATAGAATGCTGTCAGAGTCGAAGAAAGAATAAAAAAAATGTATTGCATGGTTTAAAAAACAAAGCAACTGTATATTATTAGTATATTCTGTTTTCAGAACTGCCTGAATTCTTGGTGGCATAGATTCAACAAGGTGCTGGAAGCATTCCTCAGGGAGTTTGGTCCATATTGACATGATGGCATCACACAGTTGCCGCAGATTTGTCGGCTGCACATCCATGATGCGAATCTCCCGTTCCACCACATCCCAAAGATGCTCTATTGGATTGAGATCTGGTGACTGTGGAGGCCATTTGAGTACAGTGAACTCATTGTCATGTTCAAGAAACCAGTCTGAGATGATTCCAGCTTTATGACATGGCGCATTATCCTGCTGAAAGTAGCCATCAGAAGTTGGGTACATTGTGGTCATAAAGGGATGGACATGGTCAGCAACAATACTCAGGTAGGCTGTGGCGTTGCAACGATGCTCAATTGGTACCAAGGGGCCCAAAGAGTGCCAAGAAAATATTCCCCACACCATGACACCACCACCACCGGCCTGAACCGTTGATACAAGGCAGGATGGATCCATGCTTTCATGTTGTAGACGCCAAATTCTGACCCTGCCATCCGAATGTCGCAGCAGAAATCGAGACTCATCAGACCAGGCAACGTTTTTCCAATCTTCTATTGTCCAATTTCGATGAGCTTGTGCAAATTGTAGCCTCAGTTTCCTGTTCTTAGCTGAAAGGAGTGGCACCCGGTGTGGTCTTCTGCTGCTGTAGCCCATCTGCCTCAAAGTTCGACGTACTGTGCGTTCAGAGATGCTCTTCTGCCCACCTTGGTTGTAACGGGTGGTTATTTGAGTCACTGTTGCCCTTCTATCAGCTCGAACCAGTCTGGCCATTCTCCTCTGACCTCTGGCATCAACAAGGCATTTCCGCCCACAGAACTGCCGCTCACTGGATGTTTTTTCTTTTTTGGACCATTCTCTGTAAGCCCTAGAGATGGTTGTGCATGAAAATCCCAGTAGATCAGCAGTTTCTGAAATACTCAGACCAGCCCTTCTGGCACCAACAATCATGCCACGTTCAAAGTCACTCAAATCACCTTTCTTCCCCATACTGATGCTCGGTTTGAACTGCAGGAGATTGTCTTGACCTTTTCTACATGCCTAAATGCACTGAGTTGCCGCCATGTGATTGGCTGCTTAGAAATTAAGTGTTAACGAGCAGTTGGACATGTGTACCTAATAAAGTGGCCGGTGAGTGTATATTGTGCTTTGCACAACATTCAGTCATTTATACACTAATGATGGTAAGCTGCATTGTAGCCACAGCTGCCATGGGGCTCACTGACCGAAGGCTGTCATACATGGGGGCCACGGGGCCCTCATCGGTTAACGGTGCGGGTGAAGTATCTTTCCCAAAGACACAACAACACTGAAAGCCAGAGCTTCACTGGAAAAAATTTGATATCTAGACAAGTCATTTGTTCTTGGATTGAGGAGATTAAAGAGACATTTTGCCAATGGAACAAGACAATTTACAGTTAGAATAAGAAAACACAATTACATTTTCTTATTTTAAGTGCATTTTATCTAATTATCTTATTTTAAGAGTAAAAACACTCATTCCATTGGTAAACTATGTCATTTACCTACTTTTAGAGTAAATACACTTAATGTAAGAAATTTTTACTTATTTCAAGACCTTTTTTCCAGTGTTTAACTGATAACCCTTTGGTTTCAGGGCATTCAGCGCCACTGTCACAGCTATGAAACATTCAAGTCCAGAGAGCAGATTTAGGAGTTCTGGTTGAAAGAGATCCTTTTTAAAAATTGCAAGCTTGGGTGATTTAGTTTGGAGACTCCAGACACAGCCGATGGACTCGAAACCTGTCCAAGGTGTACCCCCACTTCTCACCCATTGACTGCTGGAGATAGGCACCAGCACCCCTCACAACCCCGCTCGGGATAAGCGTGCTAGAAAATGGATGGATGGATTGATGGACTTCAGACCCACAGAACATTAACTTTTTTTTTTCCGGTTCCGGTTCTGTTTTCTATACATGTATCTGTCTGTGAGCCTTGTCATGTAGAGAGCTCACTGGGCAGTGTCCCGCTTCTTTCCCGACACAGTGATAAATCGGCCTTGCATGGCTCAAGCTACTGAAAATAAGCAGTATGCGAGTCAGGTCTTTTTTTTTTTTTGATTGGGATTGGGAATATTAATATAACTCATTCATTTAGCAGATAATGACCAACATCAAATCAGACCAACTCACCAGCCACCCATGGTGTATCTCATAATGAAAACACTTTGCCAGAGCGTCAGTGACGACTTAACTTGTGTAGAAAGACGATTGTATTACTGATTGTATACTTTAGTAATGAATAAACATTTAAAGTTTAATTGATTTCTATGTGAATGCTCTCTTGTGTTGAATCTCTAATTGAAATGTAACTTTGGTTCTTCAGTAATCCAGTTTATACTTTCCTTTTTTGCTGCATGTGCTGTTTTATAATTTACCACCAGATGGTAGATATGCACCACTCAGGGCATAGAGGGGAGGACACCATCCATGGATGAGTGTGCCACCTCCTCCTGCATGAATAGGCATACTGTGAGCTGGAGGTAGTGAGGGAAACACTGCATTTCATCCTGTGCTGCTTTGCTGCATGCATGGGACAGATTGTCATACCAGCCAAAAGGACACAGCTTAGGGGAGATAATGGTTCCCATTGAGTTTAAGGACCTGAAGAGAGTTTAGGTGCCCATGTTTGCACAAAAAGACAGACTCCAGCTTTAAAAAGGAGGCCTCCCTGATTGCTTGTCCTTGCTTGTTCCTAAATCAGGTCCAGCTTTTTATATTTACTACATTTTGCTTCTCAGCATGGGTTGCTCATCATCCAGTGCGCAGACTGTGGAACAGGAGAAAAGACCAGGCACAAAGCCTGAGGAGACCAAAGGAGATACAGTGGGTAAGTTTTAGTGATGACTGCGAGTTTATTTTTGTTCTTTTTAGTCTAGAGAAGAACATATCATGACTTCTCCAACTCTCTTTCTGCTGGTTATTCAAGTTTTCGCCTACGGGCTGTTTGCAGCCAGCTGGTGCAGAACACTGCGTGCTTTCTTACTTTCACTCTCCTGCACGGCACAAACTCATCAGGTGCAGAAATATTTATGCTGTGTCTTGTTCTCATTCAGTCCTACAAGTCATCTCTGGCTTGTTTTAGTCCGGCCCTTTCAAGCATGGTTGCTGCTGAGAAGGAGGGTGATAAAAACATTTCATGTTTTATTGATGAAATGACATCTGAGAAGAGTTCTCTTACATGTTGAGTTTTCTCAGTATCTTCCCATAAAACAAACAGAGCATTTCATGCAGGACAATAACCCCATGAGAGCAGCTCTTTGTGTTTAGATATCTATTTGCAGCCTGATGCCAGATTTGAATTCCAACCTGTTTGTTTTCCTCTGTTCTGATTCAGGGACTTCAGATTATTGTAGAAAACAATACCAGCTAAAGAACCTCATTATTCAATACTGGATATATAATATTTGTTTACCTTGGACTTTCTCACATATTGTCCTGCTCCACCCATCTCATTGCTCTGTGTTAATACTTTATAGAACAACCTTTTTGCAGAGGAAACCTGCAAAGTTCCAGCATCGAGATTTCTTTACACAAAATGGATTTAGCACAATTTGATATGATAGAGTTTTGAACAGTTTACTTACAGATCTCCTTTGCATTTGGGTCTGTACTTTACATTTTGGGTCTGTACCATTCTTATACATAAATGTGATTTGAACATACCTCTTAGATTGTGTCTCCAGCTGTATTTCTAAGGCTTCTGTGATGCTGGAAGGTGAACCCCTACCCTTATCTCAACACAATTGCAGTTTTTTTATTTTTTGAGGATTCTTCAGTAGATCCATCAGTGTCCTCATCAACTCTGACCAGATTTCCGATTACTCGCTAAAGAATAAGAGTGGACAGCATAAGGCTGAAGTCTTTCCCCCTGCGGTTTGTGTGTTAAGGATGTTTTTATTGTTAGTTTTTCTGGTCACACATATAAAAGTTAATTATTTTGGCCTTAGTACAATTTTTGGCTCTGATCTCATAGAGAACCTTCTTAGCATGTCCCCTTCTTGGCTTGCAGCAAAGGGGAAATGACTAATCTTTCAACAATGGCTATGACACACAGCTCAATAATAGTCATATCTGTGGAGGGTGTGATTCTGCCTTCTGAGCTGTGAATGTCTGCAGCTCCTCCAAAGTTACCACCAGCCTTAAAGAACTTTCTCACACTTGAACATTTGGTTATTCCCAAGAAAAAACAATTCAATTCATCAAGGACATACATTTTAGCCAGATAAACACTCAGAACAGGTCTCCTGTTCACGGCATGAAGTAGGCTGTGTGAACTCATTCTAACCTCTTATGACCCTCCCTTCACCCTTGTCTAGAATAGGGAGGAAACTACTTTCTGTCATCCCCAATCTTAACTCCCTATATAAATTAACTCAAATAAAAAACAGACTTAAAAGACTTCTAAACAATCACACCTATTTAGGCAGAGGAAAGGCACACTCAAAATATTTTATCTCACAAATAGGCCAAGTAAAATATCCCTCCACATGTCCTATATAGTGGTTAGGGCAGACATTCAGACACAGCCTAAGAAGAGAGACGATGGGGCGGAGCTGATGACAGCATTCTTACAGTAAAGCGCATCCTGGAATCAAAGGCTAAATGTTCCTGTAAATGTTGGTTAGAAGCAGCGGTAATATAAAGAAGCTCCTCTCATAATCAGGACACCTGCAGACAGCTGCTGCCTTTATCAACACGTGTTCTTTACTTTCTCAGTCTTATACTGACTTTATTTTTTCATGGTTTCTGTTTAGTTTTTTCCAGACAGCAATACTGGAAACAAACAGTCCTGCTGTTTTTTTTCTGGAACAGTGTAACACCTGTATAATGCTATGTCAAAGTATTTTAATTGCTTGCAAAGCATTACCTTTCAGTTTTATATCTATTTTTTTTACCAAGTTAAATGTCATCAATGTGCAAAACCATAAAGTTCTAAAATATTTTATTTGCTTTATTGTTATTTTAATACAAACAGGACACGTAATCATCTCCAGAATTATTATTGTAACTACATTGTCGACCACAAACACCAAAATGATGGAAGTTAGCATATAATGTAGTGATTAATTATTAAATCCAGTAATTAATAACACATAATTTGAAGTTCTAATAACAGGAAAATTTATTTTTTAACATTTTAGATAATTAAAAGGCACTTTGACTGTGCAGTGTTTAAGTTACTAACTCAGTTTCTT